TTATAGAGACAACAAATTAATAAATATATTTTCCTTGCAAGACGTATTGCTTCTGCTGCATGTTTCTGTAAAAAACTATGACCTTGCTTTGGTTAGCTTTTGATAGAGGGAATCGATCTCCACCTGCATAATAGTTGAAAAAAACAAGGACATTACATCTTATCACGGGCCTGAAGCCTAACCAACAGTTACTCGAATGAAAGAACAATTAAAGTCGGTCTGTATTAGGATCGATTAACTTATATTGCTTAACAATAGATTTATTTGGACATTTTTTTTTTTTTATAAATCCATATATATATATATATATGTCTCATTATTTTTGAATTACAGGTTTCGAATGAGGCGTACACTGTTTGTACGCATATGGAATGCCGTGGAACAACATGATCAATATTTCGTACAGAAAAGAAATGCTGCCGGTATACTTGGGCTGTCTAGTCTGCAAAAGATCACTGCAGCATTTCGGATGATAACTTATGGAATAGCAGCTGATGCTACAGATGATTATGTACGTATTGGCGAGAGTACTGCTATTGAGAGTCTGAGAAGGTTTGTCAGTTCTGTTGTGGAGGTTTTTGGAGATGAGTACTTGAGATCACCTAATGAAGATGATACTGCTAGGTTACTAGCAATTGGAGAGAGTAGAGGTTTTCCTGGTATGCTTGGCTCGATTGATTGCATGTATTGGAGGTGGAAAAATTGTCCTTCAGCATGGCAAGGTATGTACACCGGGCATGTGCATGAGCCTACAATTATACTTGAAGTTGTGGCCTCTAAAGATCTTTGGATTTGGCATGCTTTCTTTGGGATGCCTGGTTCCCACAACGACATCAACGTTTTGCACCGGTCTTCTTTATTTGCACAGCTAGCTGAAGGTCAAGCTCCAAAGGTGAATTATACTATTAATAACAACGAATATACAATGGGTTATTATCTCGCCGATGGCATATATCCCTCTTGGGCTACATTTGTTAAGACCATACCTGAACCACAAGGTAATAAGAAGAAATATTTTGCAACTGCCCAAAGAAGCTTGTAGGAAGGACGTTGAACGAGCGTTTGGGGTTCTACAGGCTCGTTTCGCAATCGTCAAGGGACCGGCTCGATTTTGGGATGAAGACACCCTCGGAATAATCATGCGAGCTTGTGTCATTATGCACAACATGATAGTTGAGGATGAGCGCGATGAGGAACATGATTTAATTTATGATGGAGTGGGAGAAAATGTGAAGATTTCTCATGATGCGACACCTGAACTTGAGGAGTTTATTAAGAATTACAGAAATATAAAGGACAGAGAAATTCATAGTCAACTTCGAGATGACCTCGTTGAGCACCTGTGGCAACATCATCCAGACCTGTACAAATGATTACCTATAGTTAATATTTATTCGCTATTTTCATTCATTATGGATACATTATAAATTTTTTGTACTTGAGACAATGTTATTCATGAGAACTGCTATTTGCTTCACATTACATATACCAAAACTGGAATTTTACAGGGAAATGCTAATTAATGTGGAGTTAATTAATGTATATGTTTTAGATTATTGGTCACATCTGGTTTGTGATTGAAAGTTCACATTTTTGTTTCTCCTTTTTTTTTGTTTCATTAAAATGTTGGATTGTTGCTGTATGTTTCTGCTAGTTTGTTTCTTTGGGGTAGTTTTGTTGTTATGTTTAGCTACCAGATTATTTTTATTGGGACTTGATTTGTTTAGGCAGTTCAGGTGGAGTTTGTTCTCCCATTGGCCAATTATTGGTGTGTTTTGCCCTATGTACATTATTTTCTATTTATGAGAAATCTTTAATGTCGTTTGAAAAAAAAAATACAAATTAAGTTCGAACATCACCCAGTACCTTATGGGAAAAAACATCACAATAGCTACTAGTACTCTTTAGAAGATTCAAATAAAAATTACGTTCAAACATCACACAGTACCATATGGAAAAAAAAATAACAGTAGCTACTAGTACTATTTAGAAGAATACAATTCTAATTAAATACTCGGCTCATGATCTCAGCCCGCAAGCACATATAGTATTTCTTTTGCTCATCTGGCATGGCACTAAGGTCCATGGTCATAATCCTCTCTTCATCCCTCTTTCTCTGCAATTGGACCTCCTGTTTCCTCACCTCAAGAAGTAGTTTTTCATTTGCAACTCGTTCCTGTTCAAGAGCAAATGCTTTGTTGAACCTCTGTTCTTTCTTTAGCTCTTTCTCCCCATCAGTTTCTTTTAACTGTGCCCACATATTTTCTAATGTTGCTGTCACACTTTTTTTCTTCTCTTGCAACAATGTTGCTTTTGCCTTCTTCTTACCAATTGGCCTTGTCATTGCATTAGCATCTAAGTCTTCAACTGCATCTTGTCCTATTTCACTTGGTAAAGTTGCACTTGGATCAGCAGTAGGCCTTGTCTTCTGCTTCTTGTTAGATGTTTTAGCAGCAACCATTTCATCACGTTTAGCAAGCCATTTCGGTTGTGTTCTCAGCTTATCCCAGCAATGCATGAACTGAAATGCTTTGTTATGTTGATCTTCGGCCTTGTACAAAGCACATGCCTCTGCAACCTGCACACACCAACATCCAAGGGATATTCATTTATGAGATATAATAAAAATATTCGAAACAAATCCATCTTTGGCAAGTGAGTAATTACCTTGTCTTGCATTGTAGTACCACTTTGACGCCTTAACTCAATCCGTGTTAGACATCCACAAAAATTGTTCACACATTTCTGTATGGTCTCCCACCGGTGCATTAGAGAATAAATGGTACGCGTTGATTGACACGTCTTGTGCTCATGGAAATAGTCACAGATACGAGACCAATACCTGCCACCTTTTTGATCTTTGCCTACGACCGGATCCAAACTTATATTCAGCCACGCTGAA